AGAGCAGGGTTTAGGGCTGTTGTGCATAGAGTCGCTATGAGTCGCAAACGACTCATAGTCATGATCAAAAGATCTGAACCCTGTTCTATCCTGTGCCATCCTTACACTTCCATACATACAAGAGTTCAATGGGGCAGTCACTGTTTCAATCAACCTGATTAAACGTCTCCTTTGCCGACCCTCCATCCTTCCCAGCCTCATGTCTTTCTCCAAGGAACAGTCTCTCCTAGCAACATGCTCAAAGTATGTGATGCAAAGCCTGATAATTTTTGCCTCCAAAGAGCACTCTGGCTGAACCAATTCCAAGACTTAACTGTCTATCTTTTTGCCACCCATGGGATGTTCTGTGCTCTTCTCCAACACCACAGCTCAAAGGCATCAATTCTTTTGTTATCATCCTTATTCACTGTTCAGCTTTCAGACGCACAAGTAATCAGAAAGACTATGGCCTGAATCAAGACACACCTTAGTCTTCAAATTAACATTGCTACTGTTCAATAATTTGGAGAGGTCTCTAACTGCTGATTTTCCCAGTGCCATGTGGTTTTTAATTTTCTGACTTCTGGTACCAAGGGTATTAACTGTAGATCCAAGAATAATGAAGCTGTTGACAGTTTCAATCTTCTCTTCATCCATCATGATGCAGCCTACTGGTCCAGTGGTAAGAATCTTTGTGTTTGTCTTCTAGAGATTGAGAACCAATCCATACCGAAGGCTGCATTCCTTGCTCCCTCTGCAAGTGCTTCAAGTCCTCCTCACTTTCAGGAAGCAAGGTTGTTTCATCTTTCAGTAAGCAGGTTACTGAAGAATCTCCCTACAAACCTGATGCCACACTCTTTGTGGAGTCCAGCTTCGTGGATAATTTTCATAGCATACAGATTGAATGGGTATGGAGAAAGATTACAACTGTGACACAGGCCCTTCTCAATTTTAAACCAAGCAGTGTTTCCCTACTCTGTTTACCCTACCAGAAATACTGGGTCTAGAAGAGGTCGTGGCAGTGGGGACATCATAGCCATTATCAGACGGTTCTTGGGTGAAAGCAGAGAATACCAGAAGAATGTCTCTGTTTCATTGACTATGCAAAGGCATTTGACTGTGTGAATCACAACAAACTGTGGCTAATCTTGATAAGAATGGGAATACCAGAACACCTGATTTTGCTCATATGCAAGCTATAACTGGACCACAAAGCAGTGGGCAGAACAGAGCAAGGAAACAATTCATGGTTCAATATCAGGAAAGGAGTATGTCAAACATGTGTCTTGTCTCCACACTTTTTCAGTCTATATGCAGAACAGCCTCCTGGTCCAGGTATAGTTTCCACATGAGCACAATTAAATGCTCTGAGATTCCCATTATACTCAATGTCACTGATAACTTATTATATAATAGCAGGTAAATATTTAAAGGATTTCTGGTAGTGCAGTGGTTAAATACTCAGCTACTAAATGAAAGGTTGCTGGTTCAAATCCACCAACTATTATGAGGGAGAAAGATGTGGCAGTCATCCTTGTAAAAATTACAGCCTTGAAAACTCTATTGGGCTGTATTGTGCTATCCTATAGTGTCACTATGGGCTGGAATAAATGCAGTGGTAACAAGTTTGGTTTAGTTTTTATATTAATTTCTGAAGGAAACAATGTTAATGTTATACAAATTGAGTATGGTAAGGCATCAAGATCAGTATCTACTCCTTGTCGCTTCTAAAAGGTCAGCAGTAACTTCCATCATAGGGTGCATTTCACCCAATGAAGCTGGACCTCCACACCAAAAGAATGGTGGGCTATGACTTCTTTCCTGCCTTGATATCAATACTACAAGCTTCTAATGATCCTCAAAGTAGGTTTTCCTCATGGAGTAGTGAGAAATGACCAAGAAAACACTGGTTTACTTTGAATACCATTAGTTAATAAAAAAGAAAACAAAGAAATGGTTGAGTATTTCACTAAAAACACCATAAGCAAGCTATCTGTCTGTCTGTCTATCTATCTATCTATTCTTAGACATGACAATGTTACTTATGAAAGCGCTTGGCAGGCAGAGTTCTGGAGGATGGTATTACTTATTGGCAGGCTTAAGATATACAGTCAAGAAAGAGAAACCTACCTAAGCAGCTGCAAAAGTGATGCATACTCCTCTGAATCCCATATGTTCTTCTCTAAACACGTGCAGTACAGCTCTCTGATCTATAAATGAACAACACATTCATGAAGAGCGGTAAAAACCACACAAAATTAAATAAAATTAATGCTATTAAAGCAATAATTTCCTTTAGACTTGGCTATCATCACATGGATCAGGCTTTATATTCTTATGTATATAATACTCCATTGGCCGGCATCACTGGCCACTCAGCAGTAAGAAAATGATTATGTGATTATTATAAAAAAGGTAGATTCAATGGCAGAATTATAAAGAAAAGAATTTTATTATATTTTACATTTTTTTCTGTAAAAGTTTAGGTTGCAAATATTTAAGAACATAAATTCTACTGACATCTGTGCTTCAGATGGTTCATACAGTTTTATACAAAGGTCAGCTGAATATAATTTTGCAAGGAGCAGAAATACTGCTTTTCTTTTTTAAAAAAAAAATTTTCCATTAATTCATTCTTGCACTTTCATTCCCATCCAACCCTCCCCCCATAGTACACTACCCTCTTGGAAAAGCAAAGGAAAAATTCTTTCATTGCTTTACAATCGCTCCCCCCAGGTCCACTCCACTAGGCAGCCTTTGCTCTGGACTCCCAACATGACAAAAATACCTAATCACATAACCCCTTTAAACAGTTTTCTCCCTCCTCTGTTTCAATGCAGTATACATTACTGAACCCATCTTGCTCAGTCTCCCCACAACCCGAAGGCCAGTCCTGTTTTACAACAGTGGCACCGTGCAGTATTTGTCCTTTTCTGACTGAGATACTTCGCTCAGCACAATGTCCTCCAGGGTCACCCACTTTGAATAACATTGCATGAGTTCCTTGTTTTTCAATGCAGCATAGTATTCCATTGTGGGAATATACTACAGTTTCTCTATCCATTTATTTGTTGATGGGCAATTAGGTTGTTTCCAACTCCTTGCTATTGTGAACAAAGCCGTGATAAACATGGGTGTGCATATATCTCCTTAGATGTCTCTTTGGGGTCTATTCCCAGTAGTGGAATTTCTGGGTCAAATGGTATCTCTATTTGCAACTTTTTGAGAAAGCGCCATATCGCCTTCCACAGTGGTTGTACCATTTTACACTCCCACCAACAATGAATAAGGGTTCCAGTTTTTCCACAAGCTTGCCAGCATTTGTTGCTTGCTGTTCTGTTAAATTTTGCAGTTCTGACTGGGGTGAGATGGTATCTCATAGTTGTTTTGATTTGCATCTCTCTTAGAGCTAGGGATTTTGAACATTTCTTCATGTGCTTCTTAGCCATCTGAATATCTTCTTCGTTGAAGTGTCTGTTCATATCGTGTGCCCATTTTTCCTTTTTTTT